AGCCTTCCCAAAAGGCGCCTAAATTTAGGTGCCGATATTTCAGACAGCGCGAGACAGCCAGACACCCCCACCAAATCAGGGCTAAATTAGTACCCGCTTTCAAAGGCCGCAAGACAGCCAAGCGCCGCCAGTATCACCAGCAACGCCCCCAGCATCACCAGCAACACATCCTCTGCGCTCTGCGGAGCCTGTAGGCGCCGTTTTCAGTCCCTAATCCCGCGCCTACCAAGCAAGCAAGAGTCAATTCAAGAGGATTCCTGAAAAAAAACTTCAGGAAGCACCTTCTTGAGGACCCCTGTAGTCACTCCTCCCCGCAGCCTGCTTCGAGCTGCGTTGCCATTTCAACCGTTTAGGAGCCTAAGTCTCCGCGGCGAGCTTTTAGTCTTGGGTTGCAAGGGGCTTGCGGCTTGCGGTCTCTCCAACGCTCGGCCGAAAGGACGCACGGCGAGTTTTCCAGTTCTAGGCCAAAAGGATGCACAGCGAGTTTTCCAATGTTAGGCCAAAAGGATGTGCAGCGAGTGGTCCCCTGCTAAGGCAAAAGGATTTGCGGCGAGTTTTCCAATGTTTGGCAAAAAGGACTTGTGGCGCGTTTTCCAATGTTAGGCCTGCAAGAAAGATTCGTGGCGAGCTTGCCAATGTTAAGCCAGGAAGCTGTGTGGTGAGTTTGCCAATGTTAGGCTAACAAGATTCCGGGCGAGCTTTTCAATGTTAGCCCAACAAGATGTGCGGCAAGTTGTCAATGTTAGGCCAAGAAGATGTGTGGCGAATTTTCCAATGTTAGAACAAGATGTGTGGCGAGCTTTCAATGTTAGGCCAACAAGGTTTGTGGCGTTTTCCAATGTTAGGCCAAGAAGGTTTGTGGCGAGTTTTCCAATGTTAGGCCAGGAAGATTTGTGGCGAGTTTTCCAATGTTAGGCCAACAAGATGTGTGGCGAGCTTTTCAATGTTAGGCCAACAAGATGTGTGGCGAGTTTTTCAATGTTAGGCCAACAAGATGTGTGGCGAGTTTTCCAATGTTAGGCCAACAAGATTTGTGGCGAGTTTTCCAATGTTAGTCCAGCAAGATTTCTGGCGAGTTTTCCAATGTTAGGCCAGCAAGATCTGTGGCGAGTTTTCCAATGTTAGGCCAACAAGATTTGTGGCGAGTTTTCCAATGTTAGGCCAACAAGATTTGTGGCGAGTTTTCCAATGTTAGGCCAACAAGATTTGTGGCGAGTTGCTCAGCGAGGAGCTCTCCACAAATGTTTGAGCCAATGCGGAGGAAGCCCAAAATCTCTCCACAACTCAAGTTCACCCAGAACTGGTTTGTGGAGAGTTCCTCAGCGAGGAGCTCTCCACCAGAGGGGGGTGGAGGGGGGTGGTCTATTGAGAGCACACAGCAAGGATGTGAACACAGGCTCTGCCGCCCCCTCCCTACCCCAGCCCCCCCCCCCTTGTGGAGAGCTCCTCGCTGAGGAACTCTCCACAAACAAGTTCTGGGTGAAGTTGAGTTGTGGAGAGATTTTGGGCTTCCTCCGCATTGGCTCAAACATTTGTGGAGAGCTCCTCGCTGAGCAGCTCGCCACAAATCTTGTTGGCATAACATTGGAAAACTCGCCACAAATCTTGTTGGCCTAACATTGGAAAACTCGCCACAAAACTTCTTGGCCTAACATTGGAAAACTCGCCACAAATCTTGCTGGCCTAACATTGAAAAACTCGCCACACATCTTGTTGGCCTAACATTGGAAAACTCGCCACACATCTTGCTGGCCTAACATTGGAAAACTCGCCACAAATCTTGTTGGCCTAACATTGAAAAGCTCGCCACAAATCTTCTTGGCCTAACATTGGAAAACTCGTCACAAATCTTCTTGGCCTAACATTGGACAACTCGCCACAAATCTTGCTGGCCTAACATTGGAAACCTCGCCGCGCATCTTGTTGGCCTAACATTGGAAAACTCGCCACACATCTTCTTGGCCTAACATTGGAAATCTGGGCGCGCATCTTGTTGGGCTAACATTGAAAAGCTCGCCAGAAATCTTGTTGGGCAAACATTGAAACTTGTTGGCTTAACATTGAAAAACTCGCCACGATTCTTGCTAGCCTAACATTGGAAAACCCGCCGCGAATCTTGCTGGCCTAACATTGGAATAGCGTTGGAAAACTCGCCGCAAGTCTTGCAGGCCTAACATTGGAAAGCGCGCCACAAGTCTTTTTGTCAAACATTGGAAAACTCGCCGCAAACCCTTTTGGCTTAACAGCGGACCACTCGCTGCACATCCTTTTGGCCTAACATTGGAAAACTCGCTGTGCATGCTTTTGGCCTAGAACTGGAAAACTCGCCGTGCGTCCTTTCGGCCAAGCGTTGCATTGAAGAGCCCGCAAGCCGCAAGCCCCTTGCAACCCAAGACTAAAATCTCGCCGCAGGGACTTAGGCTCCTAAACGGTTGAAATGGCAACGCAGGAGTGACTACAAGGGTCCTCAGAAGGTGCTTCCTGAAGTTTTGTTTGCAGGGATCCTCTTGAATTGACCCTTGCTTGCTTGGTAGGCGCGGGATTAGGGGTGACTGAAAACGGCGCCTAAAGGCTCCGCAGAGCGCAGAGGATGTGATGCTGGGGGCGTTGCTGGTGATACTGGCTGTCTTCCACCTTTGAAAGCGGGTACTAATTTAGCCCCCATTTAGGAAGGCTCCGCAAAGGATGCTGGGGCTGTCTGAAAACGGCACCGAAATTCAGGTGCCTTTTGGGAAGGCTCCGCAGAGGATGCGTTGCTGGTGATGCTGGGGGTGTTGCTGGCGATGCTGGTGATGCTGGCGGTGTTTGGCTGTCTTGTAGCGTTTGAAAGTGGGTATTAATTTAGTCCCCACTCGGGAAGGCTCCGCAAAGGACTCGTTGCTGGTGATGCTGGTCGGTGTTTGGCTGTCTTGCGGCGATTGAAGGGTACTAGTTTAACCCTCATTGGGGAAGGCTCCGCAAAGAGATGCGTTGCTGGTGATGCTGGGGGTGTTGCTGGGGGTGTCTGGCTGTCTCGCGCTGTCTGAAAACGGCGCCTAGATATAGGTGCCTTTGGGAAGGCTCCGCAGAGGATGCTTTGCTGGCGATGCTGAGGTGTTGCCGGTGACACATGCTTCTACACCATGAAATCAACCCCTCAGAACTCCTAACCGGGCAAAAACAAGCCTTCTTTTTCCGGACAAATACTTCAAGTTCGCAGCAAGAATTTTGAGGTGCAAGAGGAATCCTCAGCTTCTAATGGAAGACAACTTGCTTCAGGTTTTCCTAGTAGGCTGATGGCGACAAAACTGATATATTCAAATCTACCCTCTACCTTTTGTAGCTTTGCGGTGAACAACAGCACTAGTAAGCCCCCTCTCTCCCAGAAAGAGTGAAGGGTTTTGAGCTTAGTTTGACCTGTTTTTCTGGGGTCCTCACAGCAATGTGGGATCAACCTTGCGCACGTTCCATTTTTCTCTACATGTGGAGCGTGCTGCGTGATGTAATCAGCCCTATTGTGTGTCCCGCTGTGACTTGCCAGCGCACCATTCAGCCCAGTTGGCGCTACCACATGTCATAGCTAGCTCAAAACACCCGCCGGTTGAAACCACCGGGAGCCACGCAACCTTGTTGACTTCCTTTCATCAGGCACAGCTGCTAAATTGCGCGGCAAATTCTCGTGGGCAGCTTCTGGAACCTTTGGAAAATGCGGCCGTGGAGGCCAAGCCGCGCTTGTGCGTCGACAATATTTCGACAAGCGTGACAGTTTGGACCCGGCCTTGCGCGATTGCCTTTGGTTTCATAGGCTCCTCTCTGAGTGGGTGGCGCCTCGGCAAATCGACCTTGCGCTGAAAGCGCCCGTGTCAGTGCGCGTGTACTCGGACGCCAGCTTTGAGCCTGAATCCTGCAACCCTGCTAGACTTGGTTTTGTACTGCTACCGCCAGGCAAGTCTGATGGAGCTGTGGGCATGTCAGTGGATGTGCCCCCATGCGCCTTGAGTTTGCTACAGCCTCGCGAGCAGCAAATTACGCCATGTGAAGCCTTGTTAGGTGTCGTTGTGCCACACAACGTGGGGCATTTGCTGTGTCAGCAAGATGTTATTTGGTACATTGACCACCAGGCAGCGTGCCAGCTGCTAATGAAGGGTAGTAGCTCGCACGTGGACTTGTGCGTGATCGCCACTCTCACACACCTCATGCTTGCGCGACTGGGGTGCCGAGTGTACTTCGAGTATATTGAGTCTGAAGCTAATCCGTCCGATGGATTGTCACGGGCAGGGCTCTTGGACGAGTGGACACTGCAGCAGGGCTGGCTGTTGATGCCAGCAGAGCTACCGCCTCTCTTTTATACAGGCTTTAAGTCTTTGGCTGAGGCTGTTACTTTGATCTAGCATTGGGAAGTTATCATTGGGACTTGTACTGCTGCCATGACCTTCACTTGCTTTCTGGATCTCTTCAGCTTGCTTGGTGAGTGTGTATGCACGTGCTGTGCGTGCCCAATGCCTGCCTCCTTGTAACACCATCAGACATAGACATGCAGCCAGCTTTCTTCATGAGAGAAAAGCGCGAGGGTTGCAGGCATGAGTGTTCAGCTTCATTCAAGTTTGGGCATCTATCGAAGCATCCCGCCCCGAAGTGGTTGTGGCTCAATAATTAAAGAACTAGGGTTACCCAGGTTTTAGTCTTTGGATTCCATTTACCAAGGTGCCATTTTGGTATATGGTTTTGACCCACAGCCAAATGGCGCTTTTTCCCTTAGGTTTCCCATCAAACCAAGGTGACAAGGGTCTAAGGGTGGATGTTTTTGGCTTTGGGGGGGTGCTTTTGGCACAGTCTAGATATATCCACTTTATACCTTTATAACCACCAAGTATTCCTGCAAAAAAAAAAAGTTGGTATGTAAACGCGGTAATAACCACCAAGTATTCCTGCCAAAAAAAGGGTATGTTCTTTCAAGCCTTAGAAAAGGCGGGCTCCACTCCCCGTCAGGTTCCATGTTAGGGTAAAACTTGGCACGGCAGGATCCAGTGGTCCGGCAGCCTTGGCCAGCGCCGCTATTCCGGGACCTTCCCCGTGGGCGAGGAGAAGACGGCGCGGGGGCTTGGGGGGGTCAGAAGGAAAGTCGTGGGGAGACGACCACCTGGCTGAGGGTCAAAACATGGGGAAACCCCAAAATGGAACCCTGGTAAATGGCAACAAAGACTGAAACCGCGTAACCCTAGCTCTTTAATTTTGAGCCACACCCATCTAGGTCTCCCAGTGCCCGACCTCTCACCGTCACCCCTTTTTTGGTTGGGAGTTTTTTTTTTCCTCTGCTAATATAGAGGCGTTGAAAAAAGAGACGGTACCAACTGATTCTCACCTCTCTACTGGAGGACGCCATGGAATAGTTGGAGTAAACCCAGAGATGAAACTGGCCTTGGAAGAGCACGAGGTAAAGAAGATGGTTGGTAGTTTGCAACAGCGGATGGTCTTTATCTTTGGGGGGGTGAGAGGCAACCAGATACCTTGTTGCAATGGGATCCCTCTTTCCAAGAAGAACAGAGGTTTGTTTGCGAAGACCCACGTCGCATTCTACAACCCAGCTGTTGAAAATCGGGGGTGTCCCATAGAGACAGAGCTGCACAAGCACCAGGTGACCTTGCGTGCCGCCGTGGCGCGCTTGGACCGTACCGCGGGGGATCCCAGCGGGGATCCAACTCTTTGCCTTTTGAAAGGATTTGCTCATGCAGAAGCCCATGAGAGAAGCAGGGTTTTGGCGTTTTCCATGTCGTTTTCCTCTCAAAAAGGGGTGGTGTCTTGGACATCTTCGAGAGCCATGGTCCTTTTCGGGAAGGCGCAATGTTCTTGAACCAGTTTTCCCCCCTCGGTTTTCTTGCGTGACGACTGATCGGGAACGAGAGGGATATCGTGGTTTTGGAATACACGGAAGGCATTGGAGGGGTCAGTTGCTGAGTTGAGAGCCATTTGGATGCCGGTCGGAAGGCTTAAGTCGAGGGCTGCCTTGTCATTCCGGACTCGATTTTGACCACTGTGCCAGATGCTCTTGTTTGTATTCTAGACCAGTGGCCAAGCCTCTTTCATACTCTCGATTCTAACCTCCTTTGCTGGTGTTCGCTTTTTCACCAAAAGCAACGGGATGGAACCTGGATGAATCGGGCTGACAAGGAACAGGAAGACTCACAGGGGACCAGAACTTTGGATTCGCGTCTCACCGCCAGGCCAAAGGAGTGGCTGTGAATGCTAATGGGGGGGACTCTTCAATGGACATGATTTCGGGGAGGCAACCAACCACCCTGAGGTGGTTCGCCCCGATGTCTTGACATTGTCTCCCTTTAACATTCATTGGCTGCGTATCAGAATAGGAGGGACCCACACAGCTGTGTTGTTTCCCGAAGTTTCCGGTCAAAACCAAGGTGGACCAGGTACTGTCAAAAATGACACACCCATCGATGTTCAAAAGGAAGTCGCAAGAAGAAACATTCAGAAGGGCCAGATTGATTCAAAAAACAGCCACGTGCCGAGAATGGTCCAGGAAAAGCTGGCCAAGTTCTCACCAAATCCCAGGTTTTTGGCTAGCTTCCCAGACCTGATGTGTAAGCCCGTTGGGCCTATCTCGTAGAACCAAAAAACAACGTTGTGATTTGGAGTTGTTTTTGAAGTTTTGGTAGGTCGGGTTCGTAGGGAAGGTTCGGTAAAGGTATGATTTGGAGTTGTTTTTACAGGGCTCCTTAAAGCTACATTTTGCTCATTTGAAACATGTTGCTTTTCCCGTACCAAAATAAAGGGAAACCGCCATTGACAAGGCAATGTTCAGGTGTATAATGTAAGGATCCCTGTTTGATTTCGATAAAGCTTAATCTTGACCCCATAAATATCAACCCCAGTTTGTGAATAGGGGGGTGTCCTGGGTTTAGTGGGGAATCAACCCCTAGAGTTTCGGCGGAAACTTCCCGAAAAGCTCCGAGGTCATCATCGAGTCAGCCAGCATTGATACCACTGGTGGCAGCCAGTACGGAGGCCACATCGAGGTCTTCGACGTGCCGGGAGCCCAGGTGGATATGGCTGCGGGTCAACACCAATGAATGGGATCCCATTTTGGGGTAGTTGAATTCACCATCCATTTTTGATCCTATTTTAGTGGGAATTAGGATGTTCACTGGGGGTACGGGGTTTTGACCCATAGCCATATGAGGCAATCAAATTGCACATTGTCCGGCGTGCTGCATCAAAATAGACGGCGACCATCCCTAGGTCCCTTTAAGTGGTTGGATTTTCAGTTCGCAAGAGGCTGGCACTTTACTGAACCCCCCAAAGAGTTGCACAATCACGTTACCACGGCTTTCGCACCGTTTGTTTGATAAGCTCTGAAACCAAGTTGGGTCCAGGCCCCACCCATGGCTGTCAAATGTGTGGCAACTCCCTGCTTGCTGTTATGGTCATCAACCTGTGAAGAAATTTGGACTGTAAGGATTCCTAATCAAACCACGATGGCATACGCTCGGCAGCCATAGCACCCAAGAGAACCACCCAAAGGTTGCTGAGCACACCATTTGACTGGACGCTCAGGAGAAACCTGGGTGGAGATGGCCCGTTTCTGTTGTGTTGATGCATGTGGAAAGCTAGGTTTAGCGCTGTTTTCTGAATGATGCCAAAGGAGACTCACAGCTGCAGTTGTGTTTTGACTCATACCCAAATGGCCATGGTTCAAAACCAATGGTACCATTTTGGGATAGGTGAATTCACCACCCATTTTCGAACCTATTTTAGTGTTCGGGGGCTAACTGGGTTTGACCCATGGCCAAATGATCCCTGAAAGCATTCCTTGAGAGTGGGGAACCTACCATGAGAGAAATCAGCGGCCCCAGGCAGCTGCAAGACCTGGCCGGCAGTACCATGGTGGGCGAGCTCAACATGCAGCGGGGACCCTCAGATTTGATGGGCGGGTCGCTCCCTCAGATTCGCATGTGAGCAGCAACCCAAGCCCCCCCAAATTGGGGCCAGTTTGGCAGGTGGTACTGTACTTAATGGCTTAGGGATTATAGTGAGGCCCCTATAATCCTTTATAACAGGGTTGACGCTCAAAGTGGCATCGCGAGTCTGTGGCAGAATCAGCTTTCACTTGTTTCAAGTGCGCGGTCTTGTTTCCATGGTCGGACACGGGCTGTTTTTTTTTTTTTCTCCGGAATCTGCCCGTTTCGAACGAGCACAAATTTTCTGGAGTTGATACTCTTTGCGACAGCCACGGTTATCAACTCCACAGTGATCCGCAACTTTGCTTCGCCACCCACAAGTCAAAGAGCGGGCGCTCGCTCCTGCCAGAAGCCGAAGTTGCCAGCTGCCGGACGGTTTTACGTCATGCCTTGTTTCCTGTTGGTTCTTTGATTCAGGGTTCTACTTTTTGACTACCCCAGGGTAGACTTAAAGCTCAAAGTGGTTCATTCCCCCCAAGAGAGCCCCTAGGTTTAAGTTCATCTTGGGGTACTCAAAAGTAGAACCCTGCTCTGTTTTTTTCTTTTTTTTTTTATTAAGAAGGTATCATGTCTTGTGTCTTGTTGGTTCTTTGGTTCACTTCATTGCAACTCTGTGTTACGCCACTGCAAGTTCGTTTCTTGCTTTCGTATGGAGCCGGTGGCTTTTCGCCCTTCGCAGGTACACGCGCTTTCACAACTTGGGCAAGGGCGCGCTGTCCGCCGCCCGGACCCCGGACCCCGGGGCCCCAAGCAATGAGGTGCTTGGGCGTTTTTTGTTTTTGTTTTTTGTTTTTTTGTTTTTTGTTTTTTTTCCGCATGGGGGACACCCTTGGTGGATCATTGCTGGTTGGTTCCTCCTAAGCAACACCAAGAAAGAGTAGCCTCATGAAAAGCCACTGATATCACTGATTCTCTTTTTTTTGGTGGTTCAAGTATTATCTTCTGGTGGTCTCCTTTTGGTGGGGTGGTATTCAAGGAACCCTGGTGAGGTCTGGTAGAAACTCCACTGAATGCAGAGAATTTGTTCTGCGCAGGACGGTGTTATGTGTACTTCTTTCTGTTGCGTCGCCTTTTTAAAGGCTTTGCCCTTAAGTCCAGCAATGCTTGGGAAGTATCATGACCCCGCATTGGGATGGTCCCAACCCAAAAAGCAACCCCTTGTGTTTCTGGGGTATCAAAAAAAAGACAAAAAAGCATGCTCACCTGAACCAGGCGAACCTGCACAGGCGAACGCGAGTGCTTCGCTGAAACTGAAGGACTTTCTATCAGACTGGAAGCCTTTGACATGAACACTGCGGTTTTCCCGAGCACCCCCTTAAAGGACTCCTGTTTGCGCATTGGCCATGGGGGTTTTGGCCATGGAAGGGACTGGTTGTTGGAGGTTGAGTCCTAAAGTTGAAATGGCAGTGGCTAAAATTTTGAACCGCTGGGAGGCTGGGGCAAACCGCAGGATTTAAAGTCGACCTTTCAAATGTTTCGCCATTCCATTTTTGGACCCCCAGTTTTGAGCCACACCCAACTGCCCTGCGCCGCCTTTCGCCTTCGAGCCCAGGCTGTGAAGGTGACCTACTCCTCCAATTTCGTGAAGAGCTCAGCATGTGCAAAGCGTCGAAGCGAGTCAACCCCATGGTGCTTCTCGATTGTCCCCAGAAGAGCACTAGCCGCAGGGGCATACTTTAGTTTCTTAACGAGAAACAAACTTTTCCAGAGCCCGCGCTAGCTTGACTGCTCTCTCGTCCTGTGGAAACCGTAGTTTGAACTGCCAAAAACTAACTCCCACACAAAGTGTTTTTTCCATGAGAAACTTGAAACAAACTAACTTTACAGAAGTTTCGGGGGAGTAGAAACAAACCTTTTCCCGAAGAGTTTTATTTGTTTCAGACCCCCAAACGTTTGTTTCAAACTTATGCGTAAAGAGTTGGTTTCCTGCATAAAACTAACTTTCCGGTGACGAGTTTGTTTCTCTCTCCCAAACTTAAGTTGCTGGGCTGGAGTTTGTGACTTTGTTTCCTCGAGGGGAAACAAACCTTTGTTAGGGTAGTTTGTTTTTTCATTGGAGAAAACACCTCTCGCCTTCGCCGCGGCTCGGGGGGGGGGGGGGCTTTTTTGCGGATAATAATAATAATAATGGTGGGGGGGGGCTTGGAAACTAATAATAATGGCGGGGGGGGGGGGGCTCCCCATGATGTTCGAGGCAGTTATGATGCAGCGACGGGGTGCCTTAATTTCTGCAAACATTCTAAAAGCAAGCGGGGGGATTGGGGGGGGGGGTGGCAGCCAGCGGGGGGGTTGGGGGGGGGCTGCCCCCCCATGACATTCGAGGCAGTCATGATGCAGCGACGGGGTGCCTTAATTTCATTCTAAAAGCAAGCGGGGGGATTGCGGGGGGGTTGGGGGGGGCGGCAGCCCCCCCCATGACATTCGAGGCAGTCATGATGCAGCGACGGGGTGCCTTAATTTCTGCAAGCATTGTAAAAGCAAGCGGGGGGATTGGCAGCCCCCCCAATGACATTCGAGGCAGTCATGATGCAGCGACGGGGTGCCTTAATTTCTGCAAACATTCTGCAAGCGGGGGGATTGGGGAGGGGGCGGCAGCGGGGGCTTGGGGGGGGCGGCAGCCCCCCCCCATGACATTCGAGGCAGTCATGATGCAGCGACGGGGTGCCTTAATTTCTGCAAACATTCTAAAAGCAAGCGGGGGGATTGGGGGGGGGGGGCGGCAGCCCCCCCCCTTAATGTTCGAAGCACTCATGATTTAACAAGGAGGTGCCCTAATTTCTGCACACATTCGAAAAAGCAGCGGGGGGGTTGGGGGGCGGGGCTGCCCCCCCCATGATGTTCGAGGCAGTCATGAGGCAGCGACGGGGTGCCTTAATTTCTGCAAACAGTCTAAAAGCAAGCGGGGGGATTAGGGGGGGGGGGGGGCGGCAGCGGGGGTTGGGGGGGCGGCAGCCCCCCCATGACATTCGAGGCAGTCATGATGCAGCGACGGGGTGCCTTAATTTCTGCAAGCATTCTAAAAGCAAACGGGGGGATTTGGGGGGGGGGGGGCGGCAGCCCCCCCCATGATGTTCGAAGCACTCATGATTCAACAACGAGGTGCCCTAATTTCTGCACACATTCTAAAAAGCTGTTTTCAACCTTGTCCCCCCCCCCACACGCCGCGAAACAAACTAATTGGCCGTCGCCATGTCTCCAGGGTTTGTTTTCTGCCTGGAAACTAACGTTTTCTGTAAAGGTTTGTTTCTTGGGAAGTAAACTATTGGCCGACCCCTTCAAAAGGTTAGTTTCTCCTTGGGAAACAAAGGTTTTCGGGGGCCGAGGAAAGGTTTGTTTTTTTCCTTGGAAACTAACCTTTTCTGGCAGAGTTAGTTTGTTTCCCTGGGGGGGGGGGGGGCCGGGGCCCGGCCAGGGCAGTCAGGAACCTTTGTTTTCTCGGTTAAACTAACGTTTTCAACTAGAGTTTAAAACTGCTGCCCTCCCGCTTACTCCAGAAGAGTCAAGCTGGCAGAGTCAAGGAGGTGTGAAAAAATAGAGGTAAAACGGGGTGCACCCCTACAACTGATCAATCAGCTTGTTCAGCCGAGCTGTCAAAGCAAGTGTGAACGCGACACTCTTGACCGCTCGGACTTGTGATCGCCGGAGTGCCGGAGATTGGTTTTGGTTGAACACATCGCGGTAAACGGAATTTTACCATAAAGGAGCTCGAGTCTTTTGGCAACATTGCGCATGTTATGCGTAGGTTATCCAGGCGCTATAGCTGCTTGTTTGCAAGATGTTGCATGATGCACAGCCTTGCATTTGCCAACGGCTTTCAGCCACCATGTCTCAAACAAGTCATCAGGACTCGCTTATGGTAGAACTGTTTGACTTGCACGCCTTCACTCAACTGGCATCTGTGGTGCAGTTACCTTGTTAGCCATTGGAAACAGTGGTCAAGTTTGCCTAGTTGACCAGGGTTTCTGGGCATGAGGGTACCGTGATACCAGAGAACCGTTCAATTGGGAAGGTCGTTTCAACCAGTGGTATCACACTGGAAAAGCGATTCCTGCAGCCCTGTCTTTTCTCGTCGTTCCCAGATCCCAGTTCCCACTGAGGTAACCAGCCATCATCCTTTTAGCTGTTGGGTGGTTCCATGGGCCTACGAAATGGAACCACCGAGGGGCCGATCGGGAAACTTCCTCCTTTTGAGACCAACTCTCAACCGACTTAGCTTTGGCTTGCCACTTGGCGACACTTTTGCGAATCCTCAATAAAGAGACTCTTCCCCTAATTTTTAGACAAGCCCAATATGGGATAGTCTCACAAAGAAAGGGGACCTCCCGCGAAGATAAAGACCCCTCTTTGAGCTATTTATTTCAGACCAATCTGGAATCGCTTTGAACATACTTTTATATTTTAAGGTTCACTAAATATGGACCAGACTCAACCTTTCTTTGGTTGCGGCCCATTTTTTGGAGCTAGAAGCCCGAATCACACCATATGCTGCCATCCGACCTTTGCCTCGCCCTGGCTTTCTCTTGAAATGGTTATGAACTTCAGCAAGGCAGAGGTGTGGTTGTTTGGTGAAGCTCTGTCCACCAACTTTAGCAAGGAATCACCTTCTAAGGTGTGTCCACCAACTTGAGCAAGGAGCCACCTTCTACCTGTGGTGGTTTGGTGAATCTCCCCAGCAAGTTCTGTCCACCAAACCGAGTTCAACTTCACACGTTTTTTGTTTTTTTAACTTCGGCTCGCGTGGTCTAGGAGCCGCCTCCCGTGCTCATCTTCCACGGGAACTCCTGGACCGAGTCCACGGCGCGGGGCCCCCGAAAAATCCGAAGCCGGGCGGCTTTCCAATGGGTCCGGCCTTGGAGTGAGAAGTGGAATGACCCCCCTAGAAGCCATGCCCTTTTGGCTTCCTTGAAGGGAATCACCCCAGGTGGCCATGCACCCTTTTCCAATTAAGGTTTCCCTAGAGTAGCCTATGAAAGGATGCACTCCCGAATGGAACCAAGTCTTCCATTTCAGGGTCCGTTCCGGAGCTAATCTGCAGGAGGGTAGCCTCAACAAACCACCAATCAACTTTTACGAGCTCACGGATCGATCCGGGATGCGCTCTGGAGCGAAGGCCCATGCAGTCCCTGAGGGATTCGACTCGAAATCCGTCCATTGGCCAAGCCACGAGGCCATCGAAACCTCCTGTGGGTCCGGTTTCCGCAGACCTTTTTGTACAGTGACCGAGCTATTGGAGCACTCGGTGCTTCGGAAGCTTTCGCTTCTGTTGCGATTTCTGGGGACTATGGATTGGCACTTGACAATGTTCGACCCTCGATGCTGCGCGGAGTCACTCACAAGGGTTCTTTGTTGGTGTTCGAAAGGAAGCCCAATGGGGTAAGCCCACGCTCAGGGCGCCAAGGTATGTGTTTTGAAACATGGCTCATTTCCGCTGGTCGCATGCTCTTCAGGTGCCGCAAAAGCCAACGCTGGTACATCAATACCCGTGACCATGTGAATATGAGCTTTCCGGGCAGCCTTTGCAAAGGGCACCAACTGCTCGCCTGAGGGTTGGGGTCCCACTGAATTTTGGTTTTGGGTATATATGTCATTGTATTTCTCAGGTATAGTTGACATTACAGTTCCTTAATTTGTTTACTCAAACATGTCGACGAGACACTCATGCTTTGCCATCCTCCCTGCAAACAAAAGGAGAGATATCCAGGCGGCGCGCGAAGTGGACTGAGTTACAGGAACCTGGCTATTGCTTCATGTCCTGCAAAATGCCAACCACAAACGAGGCGTCTCAATTTTGGGAGGGATAAGAATCAATGCTTTGGTGCATTTCGCCAAGGGATGTTAGGACTTTAGCTTTTTGCCAACGAATTTGGGTTTTCCACTGAACCACTAAAAGTTAGTCACTTTACGCAGGGCTTCGCAGATTTCGCCAGCGGGCCTTCGCAGCTGGGGTTCAGTTTTGGAGGCGTGGCAGGGCGCCTTAAAAGGTCCAACCATGCAACCACTTGAGACACGTTGCGGCTTTTTCTCCGTACCGAAATACAGGCAAGCCAGCATTTAGAAGTTGCAATGCTCAGGTGTAGAATGCATCCGGATCCCTGTTGGATTTGAGCTCCGCTCCCCTCCCTAAGCTTCAGGGCCCCCGAGGAGTCAAAGAGTCTGGAGGGCGTTTGGCAAAGGTCGGTGTTTTTTTTGGGGCCAAACCAGTTGACCTTAGCCTGGCCTGGTAGGGGCGAGTGATATAAGGGTCCAAACTCAATATATTACGAGTCGTTTTCTGCTACAATCATGGCTAAAAACATGTTTTTCACATGCACCACAACCCCATTCTAGTGATTTAAGTCCGTACCGCCGTGCAGTGAACAAGCCTTTGCTTTCCAACAGAAGCTGCCAGGAATATGCCCTCCACCTGGAGTCTGCCAATGTGCCGGTTCTCATCACCTCCAATGCTGGGCGCCCAACACCGGCGATCGAATAAACGACGGAGAGCTTTGGGCCGTGGTTTTTGCCTTTTCCGCTGTTTGTGGGAGGAATATGCAGCCCCAAGGTGCAGTGTAGAAGCCCTTGAGAAAAAAGGGAGGCGGTTCATTTCGGAAAGGCAAACCCTGCTTTGGGTTAGTTTGAAGGCTGTTGGACGGCGGCCGGCACCATTTGAGGTGGTATATGCCTTTCCAGAACTTCGATGGTGACTCAGACGGAGTTGCAAAGTTTGCAAACGCGCCATTCCTCATCCCTTGCTGGTTTTTTGAGCGCCAAAGCTGACAAGTGACGCCTGTCAAGGATGTGGACATGGTGTGATACAGAAGTAAATGATGTCCACCAAAGGTCCAACAGATTGAACATCAGACCCAATGTGTATTGTAAGCGGCAACTATGTTGGGTGGCTACCCCTCCATTGAAGTCCCACTGATGAACCCTTCTGATTGTCTGCTCCTTTTTTGGGGATGGTTTTGTCAATTCGGGTTTCCAGCACAGGACGCTGGCTTTAAATCTGTTTTCAAGGGACTCCCTTGGACTCACACAGACACTTGGATGAAAGTCCCCTTCCACCTGAGGGTAGCCTCTGATTTCCTGCTTCCCAGTGCCGCAAAATAGCCCCTGGTTGTCACTTGGCATAAGCAGGTTCTTCGGGATTCCTGGTTCATCTATCTCATGCATCCTTGGAAGCTGCCCAACCCGCTCCGCGCCTCCAAAAAGCGAGCGTGCACGCCGCGAGGTCATGTTCCGCTCGAAGAACGGCGGCATCTTCTCGCAGAAGGCGCGGGCCCGTTCAGAGGGGTCCAGTGAACCAGACAAACAAAGCCACAGACCACATGAGTGCCCCAGCGGTTTGTTTTGGTGTTGGGGCCTTTTTGGTAGGGGGAGGTCCAACTCCAGACCAACCTGCATGGTGGGGAAGCTCATTCCCTGAGTTCCGGGGCTTGAAAGCTCTTGAAACGGAAGACCATTCTAGTCGTAGAAGGCACAGTTGGGACTTGTGTTTGGCCAATCCACCCGTTCGGAAGTGAGGTGTGCAAGTCTTTTTTTGGTAGCCTATGTCAACAGCCTTGCCTTTGGTCGCCCGAGCTGGGAGGGCATGGGCTGGGGATCGGGTGTAACCGAGCTGCATTTTGTTGGAACAGGTTCTGCCATTGGCTCAAGAACATGGTTCTATCTTCCGCCGGTTTTTGAGGGAGTCGAATTCACGGCTGGAAACAGTTGCTTCTTTTTTTCCAGCGGACATAAGCGAATGGAAGTGTTGTTCAGGCACTTTGAGGTCCCGAACCTAGGAACAATAGCCACCCCGCTGAACTTTGTTGACCAAAGTTTTCGGTTGATCAGCAGGGGCATCCTGATCTGGGGAGCTGAAAGAGACAAAGAGACAACGGGAGGTCCCAACCAGGCTAGGAAAATTAGCCAACCCGCTGAACCTGTTGACCAAAGTTTTCGGTGACCACCATTTCGCTTTTGTTTGTTTAGCACTGCTTAGTCAGTTGACCTGCAGAAATGCCTTGTTTTTGGAGGATGTAAGGACCTGCCAAAAACATCCTGTGACGGGGCTGGGATCCTTCGGACGAGCCCTGGCTCAGGGATCCGCTGCGTTGCAGATCAAGGACAACTGCATCATCGGCCCTCCCTGTCGTGTTTGGTCCATCTCTGGGTGCTGAACAATGAATATGAAAGAGCTATATTGTAGTCACATGGGTGTTTCTTAAAAAAAATTGGGGACCGCTTTTACGGCTGCTTGTTTCCTTTTGGCTTGCCTTTAGAACTCTCCAAAAAGGTCACAGGCTGTTAAAAAACCTGGAGGCGAAAGCTGTGTCACACGTGCTTTCCCCTTGCATTTCTGCAAATAAATTTGTCATCTTTGTCTCACGCCTGGCAGTGAACGGGAGAATTAGGACAGCATGGTGTTTGTGCAAAAGCTGTCAAAAACCCAATGCTTTTTGCATAGTCGCAGTTCAATTGCTCGAAAATCTGAATCCGCAAACTGCAGCCAACTCGCTGCAGAAATCCTTCTCGAAGCTGATACTAAATAAAAATGTATGTAGAGAACACACATTGGTATATCGTCTTGCAATGATACCATTTGACTACGCATTGAGTCCCACTATGAAGCAAGTGGGTCGTCTGCGTGCTCCCCTCGTCACAGAGACTCTTCTAGCAAATTCATGTTTGGGATGGACATGGTGGCTCTCCGGATGTTTTTTGGCCAGCATTTGCAACAAACATTGGTGCATCAACCTGTGTGCACTGTGTGTTCGCGTGCGTGCAAGCCTTTTATAGCGAAGGTAACATGCCCCACCCCTCCGTGAGCCTCCCCCTTCCCCAGCCCTGCCTCACAACTCGACGCATCACGGCCTAGCTGACAGCAAGAAAAGCAGAACAAATGCCATTTTATTTTGATTTGTAATTTTTTGAACGGCCTGTTTCCTCCAAAAAAGGGGGTCGTCCGCCATTTTGAGAAGCCCCCCAAATTTGTATGAATGCATATGTGCGTATCTTTCGAAAAGGAAGCCACCAACAGGGCTGGATATGCTACATGTTTTCCAGCCACCCTATTTGACCCCCGGCCCGGATCTAGAGACAATATGCCTGAACGGAAAGTCGTACAGACCCGGCTAGATACAGGGCATAGATACCGGGCATGTAAAAAGGGGATGTGAGCAAGGGAAACACGAGGCCAGGCGTATGCCAATCACTCGTGCAAGCTATAGAGGCGGCCTTAGAATCCTGGTCTGAATGATTAAAACCCGCCGAATCCGGGAGTCGGTCCACCCTGAAGAAAACAAATCCCCCTACTCCAAATGCCTTTTTTGTCTCTTTTCTTTCCCTTAAAAAAGCGGCACATATATATATATATATATATATAATATACATAATATATTTACATAAAATATATAATATATACCCACTTTTTTTCGCCAGAGGTCTTAGTCTGCCGAAGGCATGCAGCGAAGTTCCGAGGTGGACTTCCGACCCCCGGGTTCGAAGACAGCCCCCGGCACCCGCCAGGCCTGTGGCTGGCCGACACCGCGCCACGCATGCCGCTGGGCAGAGAATCCGTTGGACCTGAGCGGCCTAGCCTCCAAGCCTTGGTGCATTTTGCCAAGGGAGGTCGGGACTGAACGACTTTTTGCGAACGAACTTGGGGTTTTCAGGATTAAACCACTAAAGGTTAAACTGTTGGCTTGGCAGGGGAGCAGAACGCAACCGAGCAAGGTTGCTTTGCCCATTTGTACCTGGAGTGCCCTTGAGCCATTTCATGTACCACTTGACAACCCTTGGAGGGTGCTGGTAAAGGGTGTTTGAGTGGCGCGTGGGTGAGTGTTTTGGAGATTCCCCCTTTCGGGAGTTGCTTTCAAAGGGACTGGGGGTTCAGTTGCTATGTCTTCCAAGTGCCCTTTTCCGGAGTTGCCTTCGAACCAATGGAAGCCTAGAAGCCAGCAAGAAGGCCAGCCAGTCAGCTTGCCATTGTATGCTCAGTTGCCCAAAGCCGGCCTTTTGACCTTTTGGTTTCTCCTTTTTGGTCTAGTTTTAGTCATTGCCCCAAAAGGTTAACCTTTTTCTTCTGGGTCCTTTGAGCAAGTGAGTATGATGTTCCTAGTTTTAAGGTAAGCCGAGATGGGCGAAAGTCGGGTTCTCGGGGTCCGGCTCGCTGGACCAGGGTGCTTCAAACCGATGAAGACGTGGTTGCGGCAGCCCCAGTGAGCGCCAGTGGTCAATGGCCGGCAGCTCCTCAGAGGATCGTTTGGCCTCTTTGCAAGAAGTAGCCGTAGCCTTTGGCGGTGTTTTGTAGGAACCTGGTGGCTCCCAGCCATCCCCTTGGCGTTTTAGCTTTTTAGTGTTTAGTGGGGATGTCCATTTAACCCACGGAAAGTTACACTTTGAGCAGGGGATCCGCGGGAAGAGAAGGAACCCGTCCTGGGGCAGCCCTGATTGCGAGGTCTGCAAAGGGAGCAGACCCCTCCTTGAAATATCCTGATGTCAAGCTTCCATGCTGTCGAAGCGCTGTTGCCCAACAGAAGCTGCCTTGGAAGTCCTTTGTCCGAAGGGAGTGACTTCTCACAGGTGCTGTCAAATTGCCCACCTGGCCCCTGGTCCAACAGCCTCAGCTGGCTGCCTGTCACTGGCTGGAGGGGGGGGTGTAAGTTGACAGGAGGTGAGGAATTGAGTAGATGCAGAGGGCGCATGGGTCAGTGTTTTGGAGATTTTCCGGGGTTGCCTTCAAACATAAGTCCTTCATGCTTTTCCTTTTCTGATGTCAAAAGGGCCCAAACGAACCTTCATATCCCGGTGCGAGCTTTCGAGGTGATGCAGTACGCTGGCATTCGCCTGGATGAATTGCGGCTGGGACAGAAAAAAAGAAGATCTCGAAATTAAACTCCAAAGTCTCAATTTACGATAGGGAAGCAGATGTCACCACCCAACCTCGGGTGCAGTTGGGTACAGTTGGGAAGCAGATGTCACAACCCCCATCCAACCAGCACGGGACGAGCGTTTCGCCGAACCCACGAGAAGCCAGCTGAGCTCAGCTGGAGTTCTGGAACTCGAGGTTTTTCTTGGGGCTGCCTTAAGGTTCCCTGCTTTAAGATACTTTAAGCGCTATCCACCAGGCTTCTGGAACAGTGCATCCCTCCCAAGGCTCCAAAAAGTTGGGCCCTGCACACGCAGCCACTGTTGGCCGTCTAGCATGCATTATGCACGGGGATGGGTCGAGAGTCCTGTCCGAATTGTTGGTTTCATGTTGGTCTCTTGTTTCCAAGCCGACCCCGCACAGCACAAAGGTGGCTAGTCTTGATATAAAGCCACGCACTCTTTGTGGTTCTGCGGATGGGGCACAAACGAAGCATTGAGCACAGAGCGCCTTTCTGTCGTCAAACGGTCAGCCAGCAGAGCTCCGTGGGTGTTTGTGTTTAAGCAAAGAAGCTGTCACGCCTTGCCAATCTCATTGCTTGCAAAGAGTTGGGGCTTGGCGTATTCCAACATAGATCCTTCGTGGGTCGTTTTCCTTAGGTTCTTTGTTCGTGTTGTTGCTGTCCATGTTCCTTTACACCGAGAGCACCCATGAAGGTTCCTTCCTAAATTCTCTCTGTTCACTTTGTGAACTGTTTCTTTCTCAGGTTGTGGTTATGGTATGTTCCTTGGTACCCAGGCACCCATGAAGGTTCCCTGCAGAATAATCTCTGATGTTCAGTTGGTGACTTCTTATTTTTGTTCAGACTCAGAGGCAGGTTGCAGGAGCCCAGGGTGGCATCCAGGGAAGGGGCTGCTGCAAGGCCAGTACGGATGATCGGCAACCTGGTCTCTGGCTCCAGAGACATGGGCTACCTCACGCCTGCCCTCTCCTCAGTTCGAAAGCTTCGGCTTGTCAGTCAGGTTACCTAGGGTGCCTCGACGCAATCAGGAAAGTCCCCTGAATTTGCCTCTCCGAATGGGGTTGGCGGCGAGGGGTGGTCTACATAATAAAAAGATTCAAGCCATCTAAGGCAACTCTCCATTCCAAGCAGAACGCTCAGAACCACAGGGCCGAAATGGAGTTCCGAGCGGCGGAATGGATGTTTCTGGGTAAGCCCTGGTTAATTGGTCGCTCCCACAGATCTCAGAGAGGCCAAAAAGAGCGCCAAATGTCCAGGGTGCAGGGCCCCCAAGTTATATTACTCCTGGCTGAGAAACCACCCAGACAATTCCAGTTGGTGAACTCTCCTAAATCTGCCTAGGTTTGATTTGTCTCAAGGGGAACCCCCATGGTTGGTGTCCTTTGGGTTTCCCTTTAAACCTACCCAAAAGGGGTACCCTTGACCAAAAACTTGCCCAGTTTCAAGGTAGCTTCAGCATTGGTTCTGGGCGATCATGGGTGTTTCTCAAAATGGCCCCCCCTTTTGGATGGTTCTTGGGCAACCACAAGGACACCAACTCAAAAGAAGCCCAACTCATCCTGAGAAGCACCTCAGCTTCCTGAGTTCCTGGACTTGAGGCACTCTTTGGGGCTGGACCAATTTAGTGGTAAACAATCCACGTGCCCGTTCCTAATTTTCGTGGCCAAATGCACGCGCTCGGAAGTGAGACGCACCGTATCTCCCGGAGCCGAAGGCTCAGCCTTCAGCCCCAGCCCGCCCGGCACGGCTCAGGCGGAGCCGTGCCCACCCCGCGCCATCTTCAACAACGAGGCGGCAGGCGTCATCGTCGGCGCCGGGCAACCCAGATCCGGCCTATGGAGTTGTAAGTTTTTCGGATTTGGGTTGGGTGTTGATTGATTGTGACGCAAAGCAATTGTGTGAACATGTCTAGGGTTTATTTGGGGACATGGGGGGAACCTCACCAGATTCTGCGCGCAAACAAACCTATACAACTAGTTGTCGTTTGCCATTTGCATGCGACAAGCAATTTAACTGTGCCTTGTACTGTAATTTGAATTGCTCAAGGCAACTCGTAGTTACTTGGTTACGAGTGCTGGTCATGAATCCTGTGCTAGGATTGCAGACAACCATAAGGCTTCCTAAGACTAAAGCAACTATGACCATTATGGCTCAACCATCATGAAACCCATGAAAGTGCCCACTTTTGGTCAAAGTCAAATTTGGGGCATGTCAAAACCACCTTGGAGGAACCGCCATGCTCCAATGCCAGTTTGTTCTCCCTTTTGTGGGTTGATGCTAGGCGACACACACAAGAACGCTAGCTGAAATGGTGTGATTCTCAAGCTGCCACTACTTTCCATCAAAGGCATTTGCGGCATTTGTGGCACCCTCCAAGGGTGGCGTTTCCATTTGTGCAAATTTGGAGGGTGCTGGCATGTTCGTAGGTGTCCTTTTTAGGTAAGCCTGGTTATCCATCCTATGTGTCTCGGAAAGGCCACCTATGTGCGTTTTCCCGTCCCGTACCCGTCGCTCGATCTGACAGTCCGGCAGTCCTGAGGTCTACCTCCTGACGCAGACGGGCTCCTGTCAAACGGCGAACCTCTGGACAGCTTCGGCCTCGAATTTGGGGCTGGGAATTTGTATAACGAACCAATCCCTGCTCTGTGTTTCGGAGGGCTTTAATGGAGTTTGCCGAAACCTTGTTGCAGCATGCTTAAACGTGGAATTTTGGCAGGGCTGGGAAAGAAATTGGTTGAACCAAAACGCGCTGAAAGCTGAAGCGCCCTAGGTGAAGGCTGAAGCCAGCTATGGACCAAACAAAAGAACCAAATCCTTTTCTGCTTTTAAGCGGAGAGCTGAAAAGGAGTTTGTTTAAACTAAAGAAAAGTTGTTGTATGTTTAACGGGGTGGCACAACACCTCAGTTCAACCCCTGGATGTCATCTGTATCAAGCCATCTCTTTTGTTCGCAGGATTTTTGGCATGTGACATTGTTGGTGTGTTCATGCATTGTCCGACGCACAATGTTGTGTTGCCAAGATGCCGATTTGGAAGTTGGAAAGTCCTCTTGCTAGTGCTTAGCATGGAATGAGAAATGGAATGACTTCTATAAACTTACCTCTTAAAAACACAACTTTTCAACTTGTTGGGTAACATGGGCTATATGTCTGTAAAAGATTAACTTCCCCAGGGCGCAGGGAGTTTTAAGGGGTAAGTAAACCATCCAACGGGTGGTGTCCGTGTTGGGACCAATTCCCTGGCGCGAACTCGCGCCAGCCATTTCTTCTGCTTCGACTCGGCGTCGGCGCAGCTGGACCAAAGCTTTGAAAGGACTCTCTCCCCCGTGTCCTGGACAGATGCGATCGATTGTAACTGTGCGAGCACCACTCTCATAGGGGTGGTGTCTCTCCCTTTTCGAGGGTGCCCCCTGTCTTGGGTCTTTAAAGAAAAGCCGCAAAAAGAAGACCATCATTTTTGGTTGTCCGCCAACAAAGCACGCACACACGCATAAACAATGCTCTTGGAACACTATATGAAGGTTTTGCAAGCATCCGCATTGTGGAACGTGGACGATTCTGCGGCGAGCGTTTTCAGGCCGTCATGGGGGAAGCGGAACCGGCGGCTTTCCGTTGAATCCCTTGTGACCGTCTTTCACTTGCTTAAGAATATGGTTGGTTTGTATCACTACTGGAAATTTTACCCCTTTTTTTTCCAGGGGGCTTAAGCAAATGGAAGCCATCCCACCACAAATCATGTAGGATCCCAAAAGGGGAGACAACACGCGCTTGTGATTCCCAAAAAGCGGCGTCGAATTTTTCCCTCATGACTTTCCGGCTCTGGGAAGGTCAATCGAAAGGGAGGCCATTGCCGGCGGTCAGAATGTCTGCTATTTGGGCTGGCTTTTGGGGACGAGCAAATGAGTAGGGTCTATCTATTTTACCACAGAACAACTTGCAAACGAGCAAACGTGAGGTATCCATGCACCAGCCAAGTAGTCTATGGTCAATTTCGGAGGAGTCACAACATGTTAAACAGGAAAACCAGCGGACTTCTGGGTACGACCTCTCCGTGTCCTCGAAGGTTTCTTTTAGATTCGAATGCTTTGTTTTCCCTTAAGTGTAGGTCTCCTCTTGCGGATATGTCAAACTCAAGTGGCCGATCCCTGCCGCTGTTGGTTGAGCAAAAATAGTGGCAAAAAGTGCCGTGGTTGAACCAAAAAAATGTTGCTCGAGCCGCGCCAGTGTGGTGTATCTCAGTGAGGCAATTCTGAAGATGACTACCAGCAGCCTCCAAGGGTGGTCAATTACTTAAAACGGCTCACACGAGGGCACAGGTACAAATGGAAAAGCCCACCCTTGGAGGGTGCCGGCAGTTGAGTGGGAATTGGATGCTGGATTGCCGTGAAGCGCGCCGTTCGGGTTGTTCCCAATCCTATAGGTTTTGCAGTAGCGCCTTTTTTGGCCCTTTTTGGTTGGGAGAGTTCCGGTTCCCCTACTAAAAATAGACAGAAGAAAAAGTCGGGCACCCTTCAAACCTCTCTACTGGAGGAGTCGAATAGTTCGAGACCAAGGCCCCAGCGCCTCGATCCGCAAAGGACCTCTAACCGCCGTGCCGGATGTTTTTTGGGCTGCGAGGTTTGGAAGGCGGCCCATGCGGCCGTCTACCTTTCGGACTTCGCCACCTCCCAGACCATCCTCTCCAACATCGTGTCTCGGACATCGGGGATGGCTCGCTGATATTGCGCAGGTTTTGGTCCTGGGGCCAAAATTGGGTCAAAATTGAACCACCCGAAAACCGCAGGTTTTTTGGTCTACTTCTCCATTTGCCAGGGTTCCGTTTTGGATACCTATTTTTCACAGCCAAATAGCTCGGGATGCGCAGGGTTTAGTCCTGGGGTCCACTTACCAAGGTAAGGTGCCATTTGGGTACATCGTTTTGAGCCGCATCCATTTTGGGGATGCCAGGCGCTGCTTTTGGCTTCCTTCGACGTGTTTGCTTGGATGTTTGTTGGCTCATGCTGTGATTTGGTTGTTCGCTGCTTGTTTCTGTTTATGATGGGGTGCACAGGACAAAGCTTCGAACATGACAGAGACTGTGAAGCGGCAATGTGTTTCCAGTGTTGGGAAAGGGCCTGTGCCCTTGACATAGGTGCGAGAGAATAGCTGTACAGTTGGGTGCGAGCAGGTGCAATTCCAAGCAACCTTGGTGCATGCCTCCTTCACCTACCCACATCCGGGAGGTTTTGGTGTAGACTCCGGTACATGGGCACGAAGCGCCCACCCGGGGGGGAGGGGTGGGGGGTGGGGGGCAAGGAATGTTTGTGTCTCATGGGTGAATTTCTGCTCGTTCTTTGAGGCGTGAGGCAAGCTTACATTCTGGAGTCCCGTGTTACCTCCTGCTTTGGACGCTGAACAGAGGTCACAGGAAACCGGCCCATGTACGACCCATTGCTCACAGGCCCCGGGTTCTGATGGTTCTCTTGAAAACAACGCCCACAAGAGGGAAAGCGTTTTTTCATCCATACTCCACTGCCGTGGTGATTGCAGTATGGGACATGAGGATTCTCTGGAGTTCCCACCAGGCCCGGCCCCTTTTAGCCCCTAGAGGTCACTGAACAAACCAATGGATAGCAAATTGTTGGGGGGTTCCTGCGGGGGTGCTTGATTTCCCGCCCGCAAAGGGGGGGGATCCTGGGTGTTCGGTATCTCAAATAATTCCACCCCGACCCGCGTGGGTTTTTGCCCGAGGTAGTGGCGGACTCGCACATGGGTCCGAGCCTTAGAGACCCGTTGCTTCAGAAATGACCTGGAGGGCCAAGTGGGAGTCTCCTGGGGCGTTGTGCCGGTGCCCCAAAAGGTTGTGCCTGGGTGTGTTCTTCTTTTGCCTGACACCCAGAAGCAGCCTTGCACACAAGCTTCTTTGTGCCAGAGTTGCTAGAACCACCAGCACAACAAAGCACAACTAAGCACAACCTGATTGTGCCTGATTGCATGGGAATCCTATGAATCCCTGAGGTATTCTGCCCTACATGAGCATTGGATCGGCCTTCAGGCGGGAAGAGGGTTGAGATGCTAAGAGCATACTGTTCACCAGGCCAAGAGTCGCGGTCGCGACTCTACACATGATTCGGATCAGCTCTTAAATTTAAATTGGCTGCACACCCCGTCAAAATCAACCAGCCTCAAACCTGGATGCCATTTGCCTCAACCTTTCAGACAAGCACAGTTGCCGGAAAAAAACTGCTCTCGGTGGTTCCATGGCAGAACTTCTCTAGATGACAAGCCTTGATCAATGATCTTGGCCATGGACGTGTGAGGAGTGGCAAGCCAGCCTGTCAGAAGCTAAATGCCTGAAGCTGGGCTGATGGTTCATGTTTTGAATTGTGAAGTTTGTGAACCAGCGAATTCGCGTTCCTCCTCCAGGTGGCCTTCAAATGATCCTTTCAGTTTGCCTTCCAAGATCCCAGGCATGTTTGCAAGGGCAATCCACCCCATCGCCAGGTCTCCTCTGTACAATTCGCTGTTGGGGTGGACTATGTTAGAATTAAACATGAAACTGAATTGCCACATATTGCGTTAACTCAACACTAAACTGAATTACAGAGACTTCACGGGTGCCGAGTTGGGCCTCGGGTTTGATTTTTTTTGGCTTCGATGTCAGATCGGAAAGAATAGAATAGTAATAGGAATAATAATAATTAATAATTAATAATAAATAATAAATAATATTAATAATAATTAAAAACAGAAAAAAAGTCAATCGCCAGGCGCCTCTTCATCCGCAACTCCATCATCATCGGCACCTCGCCGGCCGGCACGAATTGCCCGGCGCCCGGAAGCGGCCGAAGCGGAAGCGGCCGCGCGGAAGCGGCCCAGTGGGATGGGCTGGGTCCGGGGGAAGTTGGTGAGGCCGCAAGCGACGGTTCCTTTACTTTGGTGCATTTTGCCAAGGGATGTTGGGACTTTAAAACTTTTTCCCAACTAATGGGTTTTCCACTAAACCACTAAAAGTTGAACTTTTAGCAGGGGAGCAGAAAGCAACCGAGTTTAGACACGGGTGGGTTTGATTCAATCAGAATTTACCCAGTGGTTGGTCCAAGAATTCCGGCAAGTGGTCTGGAAACCACGTCCTGGGTTCGCGGACTTTGAAGTTTTTGGGAAGACCAGTCTATTTGTAAAAGTTTGGATTTTTCTGGGCCAATCTACGCAGGAAAACTAAGATCTGGTTTTGTTTTGGGTGGTGCTGACGATGCACATGGCTGAGTTCGTTCCCACGCCTGTATCAATGGAATTAGGGGACGGGACTGACACGTGAGAAATTGATTTGGGGGACTCCGGTCCCTGTTCCTCTCTCGAGCCGGGGTGGGAGAAAAAAAGGTAATATCCGGGCAGTCAAAACATGTCGGCCATTAAACTTCGCGAGGGGAATGATAAAGCTGAACCCGCTCGCGAAGGAGATATATTCGCTCATGTGAGAGCTCTTGGAAACCCGCCTAGAGGTGAATTGGGGCCATCCCTCCGCCCCAACAGCAGTTGTTTGTGGTGTGTTTCTTCATTTCAAAGTGTTTTGTGGTGTTTGTTGTGGTGTTTTTTGTTGTGTTTTGTTTGTTTTGTTGGTTGTTTTTGGTTCAATCCTCGAGCCATTTTGGCATCGCCCGTGTGTGATCCCCCTTAGCTGGGCCTTTCGCTGCCAAAGGCGAGAGCTCCACCTGGTGCCGCACCCAAACCCCGAAGGACCCCTACATGGACGTGACTCGGCTGAAGATTATGGGACTGAGTTTGACGGTTTGAGGCATGGCTGGGGCGCGACTTTGGTAAGAATGAGGCTGGCAACATGAATTCCGGCGTGGGAACCTGCCACTGGGGTGCGGCTTTGGCGAAAATGAGGCGGACAACATGAATTTCCCATGGCGTCGGGAAACAGTTTATTCAGCCCAGCAAGAAAGCAGGTCGTACCTGGATTGCGGCCAACTTCAACCAGCCAAATGGGTATGGGTCAAATTAAACCACCAAAAAGCCCACAGAAAATTAATTGGTCCTTGGTTCCATTTACCAGGGTTCCAATTTGGGTACCTGTTTTTGAGCCACAGCCAAATGGGCCCAGGGCGCGGCTATGGGGATCTATAGATCTATTCAGTTCCCAGCAGCCACTCGGGCGTGGCATACCAACCAGCCACATCCATCAGCCCCACCTTTGGCCGGCGCTGAAGGGAAACCTGGCGTGCCATGTCTTTGGCTCGCGGCCATCCATTGGGAAAACAAGAAATACACCGAGACAAACAAATATGTATATATATATATATATTACGGGAGATTCTTCTGATTTTTGCGTTGAGAAGGGTAGCGGAACGAATGAGATACCAGCCTCTGCGTGTGCGCATGGATTAACCGCTGGGTTTGCGCCTGACCCATGATGAAGGGAAGTATCAGGTGTGCAATTTATCGTACCTACCCAGAATTCTCGTCAGCGACCATTGACCCGTGCACAATACAAAAGGCAAGCTTGTCAGCCGCTTGTGTATAATCCGCCTCTTGCATATGGATCATCTCTTTGAGCTTGCCTCATGATGCAGATTGGGATGTTCTTCGAATAACCACAACCAATCGGCCCAAAAGCAAGCCCGAAACCGACCAAAATGGTTGCCTGAACACACACACACACACACACACACACACACACACACACACACACACACACTCGCTCCGCCCAAAACCAAGCCTAAACAGCCCAAGCTAGCCCTCCAACCCAGCTCGAGCCAACCCCAAGCCAACTCAACCCTTCCACCACCAAGCCCCAAAAATGCCCGCGCACGCTCGCGTGACAGCCGCAAGCGGTTCCAAATCTGCCGCAACAAAATAATCGGTCTTCCGGCACGCGGGCAGCGAGTCTCAGTATCTAAGCCGGTGCCAAGGACGTGCTAAGCAAAATGTATTCCTTCCGATCTGAAACAGTAGTCTACTGTTAGTTTGCGAGGACCCACCCAAAATCAGCGGCCAACGCACCCATTTTTGTTTTGATGTAGGTGATTGTGTCCCCAAAAACATTAAAGAGGACCCCGGAAAATGTGTCGCTCTCTTTGGTTGTCAAAAACATCACCCTGACGAAGGGTGCCGCGGCAAGCGAGGACAAATGGGGCTTGATCAAAAGGTCCTTTACATGGGATGACCACTGGGCAAAACAGCTAACAAGAAAATATTTGTACTAAATGGGAAAGTTACCGGTCAATTTGGGGCCGAACAGAATATTGATCAACCCCAACCCCAACTACCCCCCCAAATTCCCCCCCGCTAGATGTCCTCGACAACCCTCGCCAGGGCTGCGAATCCATGTATGTGGGCGCCAACCTTCGGCGTGTTGGGCCAGGACCTCAGTCCACAGCCAAGCGTTGAAGCTTTTGGTTGCAACTCAGTTTGGGTGATTTTTGGTATATAGCTTACCCCAAAACTCTCGATTTTTGGTTGCTTTTATTTGTTTTGTTGGGGGGGGCAAATTGGAAAACAAAAAGCCTTGGAAGAGTCACATGTTTTTTGCCGTTCACCGGTGTCCTTGCACTTTTTGTGGTCCTCACCTAGAAGTTTCAGCTTTTGTGTGGTCGCTTTGTGCCAGCTCAACGGGGGTCGCTTTGGGGCAATATTCTCCCATCGCACCGGCCAGTTGGAGAAACCAATCGGAAACGGGGCTGGGCTGGTGTCAAAATGGATGGAGGTTGTGTGTTCACCTGAGATGACCCCGTTCTTTTCTTTTCCCTCCTTGCCCACGACCTTATCCCAGGTAACATGTTTAATCGCCAGCTTATCCCAGGTAACAACTGTGCTGCGTGGGAGTGAACTGACCTACCTCTGACAACAGCAGCTGAAGCTTCATGGGCATTTGCGGAGCCTTCCAGGGGCTGATCTGCTTTTCTTATTCAGTTGCGTGAGGAGACCCCCCCCCCCATCAGTCGGTTCCCGCGGATGTGGTGCTTGCCAAGGTTTGTGGCGGCCATCCAGACGGCGAACAAAAAGACGGGGGGCGGCAGTCCGGGGAACCAGCTACCTTGACCCTTTCACTCGTGGGATAACAGGGTTGTGGGATCAAGGGGTTTATCCCCACTTCCGCGACAAATGGAATCTCCTCCTTGATACGGGGGGTTAATCTTTGGGAAGCCCTTTCTGTTGTATCACAGAAGTTGTTATTTCCTAAGGCCCTGTGGGATAGGGTTCTCATCATGCTTTGGGTCAAGACCAAAGAGATTCCAGCATGGAGATTCCAGCTAGGAGTATCAACTGGAAGTTGGGCAAATACCCTCCACCTGCTTTCTTGGACGGGTGCGGACAGCTCAAAGTTTGAGCCCATTGTGGACCATGGCAAAGCTCACAGGGAGAAAGATGTTTCAGGTGCGAAAACTGAAAGGGTGTCCTCAAAGTGGAAATGGACGCCTTCGTTTTATGAGTTTCCTCACCTGCCAGCCATGTCCTCTCTATGGACCGGATCTTGTTGGGGGTCTTTGCCCCATTTGCACATTGCGCCACTTGGAGGCGAAGATGTCCGTGGTATCAGTGCCGCAGTCAAAACATGCCATCGTCAGCGTGAAAAATATGGCAGTTTTGAGTTCCGGCCAGGACGATGGGACTTCTGTTTCTTTGCCAAAAAATCCTATAAATTCTTTGCCTTTAGACTGTACTAAGGCTTTCTTTGACCCAACGAAGTTCCCAGAAAGAGGTGACAACAATTTTCTGGGTTCGCTTAATTCCCCGCGGTTGATCTGGGCATGGGTCAAAATTCCGTGCCCTCAGTGAACATCCCAATCCCCACTAACATAGGTCCTAAAATGGGTGGTGAATTCACCAACCCCAAAATGGGATCAACCAAAACGGTTTTGACCCGCAGCCATATGTTCCCTCTTTGTAAACCAGCTTCCTTAAGGGGCGACTTGGACGATCAGTTAAGCTCGGTGGTTTCCTGAGCCTCTTTTTCCACTTGTTGGCGCCAGACAGCTTGGCGGTTTCCAGCCATGCCCTTAGCTTTTTGGCGTTTAGTGGTGGGTTTTCCACGACTTTCGCGCACGAAAAGTTGGTCAGTCACTTCTAGCCGGATCTGAAAACGGACAGCCGGAAAGTTGGACGGTCCAGGGCGACTGAGACCGCTTGGTCTTCCGGGACACCCCCAAGTAGAAGAAACACACTATAAACTTAGCCAACAGGTGACGTAAAAGAAAACAGCCCCAAAAAGGGAACGAAGTAGTTTTTTTGGTTGTGTTTGGCGCGGCATCTGTTTCAATCGTTGTGGATTGCTTATACATCACTGGGTCGAGTCTCTGCATTTTTTTGCGGCTGTGCCGTGGGCGCAATGCCCACGCTCCTTAGCCCCCCGCTCGCAGGAGCTGTTGGATGACCGAGCCCTATGAAAAATGCCGACTCATGTCGACTGCGTGCCTGTGGCCTGCTTACAGACCGAGAACTGAGCGGGTGAGCTGCTTCTATTTGCTTAAGAATATGTTGATTTTCCCCTGTTGGTTTTAAAGGGAATCTATGACTACTGGACATATTTTATTTTTTCCAGGGGGCTTAAGCAAATGGCGGGCTGGTGAATCAAAAAGCCAACAACCATCAAGACACAGAGCCGCCCTTTTTCTTTACATGGAGACTCGGTAGACTCGGGAGAACATGGTTTTGATGACTCAGTGCCCCTATTCTCGAGGCTTGACCCTTTGAGCAGCTGAATAGTCAGGTGGGCGCGCCACCCAAGTTTCCCACATCGATCGAGGGTCTAGAAGCGTCGAGATGCATCTCAAAAGCCTTCAAAAGCATGGGAAAACCAGGAAAAAGTCGACAAAAAGCGTGGTTTTCTGCCGGGTACGCACGGTGTAAAAGCCTAGTGGAGGGTTCTCTTGACTGCGCTGAAACATTCGAGTCTGAATGGGTCCGAACCAATTGGTAGGAGAATGCTACGCACAGTATTGTCCTTTGGAGGAAAGCAAATCGGAAGCCAGTACCCATCCAAATGCACTCCCCTGAATGGGGGCGAGGAACTTTTGGATCATTGGTAGACGTTCTGTGATGTGCGAAAGCGCAGTCCGCTTTTGTGCGAGGCTGGCGAAGTTGCCTCTTCCTGGGTCTCTTAAAGTAGAATTGCTTTTGCGGGGGGCGCTTTTTCCTGGAACCACCAAATTTAAAAGGTTATTTTGAGGATGTCGGACTTTCTCAGTTCCTAGCTGTAACGCTTTCCGCGATTTCTGATTTCCGACACCGGAGCTTGA